GAAACGAAAGTTAGGGGAGACTTAGAAAGATGTATAAATTATTTAATTACCACACCATTCAATCTTCATGGAAAAAAGTACAACATTTACACAACACTCTTAACTGATGAGATGCACTAATGACACGTGTGGAAATGAAACCATCTTTCCCGCTCTAGTGTGCGCTATCAACTAACTTCATAAACACAGTCCTTAGAACAGATTGGCAGACGGTAAAGCCAAGCCATGACTTTCAAGAAAAGGTACACACTGTACACTATTGAAAATAAACAGAATTTTATCTGTCAAACCCAAAGCAGCATTTACTGCAACTACTAACCCAGTTTTGCTGTGGAGAAATGCAACAGACATTACTGAATCATTTCTTTTCAAATCCATACATTCCCTGCAGCCGTTCAAGCTCCATCAGCAGTGCAGGAATGTATGAAAATGACAGGCAAAGGGCACTAGCTCTTTTCCCATACTGTTCTTCTATAAATGGAAGCAGGGTCCTACAAAGCATTTAAAGCTGGAGAATGTTTGAAGACTGATCTCCGGGAAAAAAATATTATGATGTTAGGTTCCATGAGCAGATTAATTATTCTGTTTTCCACAAAACTGTTTCCCTTAAATGAAAGGACAGAGAGGAAACCAACTACTAGAAAATAATGGAACACTAGCTGGGTCTCATCTACAAAGCTGCCATGAACAAAGCATGTGCATTCACATACATATTTCATACACTACTCATAAAAATACTTCTTATCCCTTTTGGGAGCACCTGTTCCTGCATTCACTTTTCCCTCTCCTCTCAGCGAGGGGGAGAGAGAAAAAAAGAGCAGATTTGGCAGAGATCCTTTAACAACCTCAAGTCAATTTGATTAAACTTTGACTTGCCTTCAAAATTACACCTTGTTTCAGTAGCATGTTACAGAAACTTTAAAATACACCATTCCGAATAAAAAAAGCTCTGAAATACATAACGTATGCCACTTTGCTAAGCTGGTTAGGCAAACAAATGCAAGTATGCTACATCATAACACAATAAGAAACTCGCGTGCTTCTTGCTAAGACACTGAGTTGTCTTCCAGGGGTTTTTTTCTGTTGTTGTTTTTAAGGGTTAATACAAATGCCTAGCATTCTCTTAAAAAAAAAAAAAAAAAAGAAAGAAAAAAAATAAGTCTTTCCATATTTAATAGCAACCCTTCGCTGTTACTTTGCCATCCTCAGCGTGAAGAAAATACCGGTGCTCGCAGCGTGTGTACAAGCCTGGATGTACACCAGAGCGAGCTCCCCGCGGTCCCGAGAGGGAAGGGGCAGGAGGAGCCACGGCAGGAGCAAACCCTCTCTGCACACCGAGTCCCTTTTCCAGTATCTCTTTACAGAAGCCCTGGCTAACAAAACGCTATTGCTCCAGGCAGCGGCATGCTGATGTTGGCACTGCTTAAACCAAACAAACACGATGTTTAACAGTCAAATAAAATGTCCCGCAGCCTCCCTAATGAATTTGTCAAGGACCATCAGATCACCCCCGCCCCTGCCTCATTAACTCAAGTATGATGAGACGGATTATAACGAGAGAATACAGATCAATCGGTCTGAAGACTTCAAGTGGCTTTTAGCCCTGAGAGTTTCCCTCTCTGCGGCACACACACGCACACGGTCTTTTTAATGGAATACAGTATCTCCTGCTGCTGGAGGGGCTGCCACTTCGTTTTATACACCATCAAGGAGCTGCTGATGGACTTCTACACTAACATACATAAAAGCAGAGGTGACAAGGGCTCTTCAATTATAGCCTCCTCGGATCCTGTTCCCCCTTCAATTATTCATCCCGGCGAGAGCAAATTCCGCCACAGATGAAGCTGGTCTTAATGCAGTGTGGCCACAAACGCCCAGACACAGGAGAGAAGGGTTTCACGTGCGTTATTTGCTGGAAGTGTTTAAGTTTATTGCTCAAATGATGTTTCTAATTAGCGCTGGGGCAATAAATTAAAGTCGGCTTTTGTTTAGCTGATTTATTATTTACTAGAGCTTCAACCTCAGACAGGAAAATTGGTAATGAATTGTTTTAAATCTGAACACTAGTAACGCTTCATCATTAGTCACCTTACCGGGGGAGGGTGGGAGGGGAATCGTCCGCTCCTTTTGCTTTTACCCTGAAAACACCAAAGCGCGTCCCCCCACCCTC